CTTTTCTCCCTCTCGATTTCATTAGACCGTATTTAGTACATTTTTGACTCTAGTTGTATTCGGACCTTAGTAGATGCTCATGACTAGTGACACCCCGATGTATCTGTGTTGGTTTATTTTATTTCCGCAATATATATTGCTATTTTTGGGATTTATTTATATTAAAGACCTTGGTTTATTATTTTAACTGCTTAAGATGAACTGGAAGTATGTTGGCTGGCCTTGTCTTCACGAGAGGCACCATCACGACGGGGTTTGGGTTTAGGGTCGTGACAAGTTGGTATCAGAGCCTAGGTTACATAGGTCTCACGAGTCATGAGCAGGTTTAGTAGAGTCTCGCGGATCGGTACGGAGACGTCTGTATTTATCCTCGAGAGGCTGCAGAACCTTTAGGAAAACTCCATATTCTTGAAATTCTTATCGTGCATCCTTAATTCAGCTTGAAATATAACTCTTTGAATTCCTTCCACACATTCGTATGTGCGAACGAGCGCTCAGTATCAGATGTGCATCGATGGCTTGTGATTCCCTGATCGAGGGGCGAGGTGTGATCTCTGTGTATTTGACGTTGGGCCAGTCTGGAGGACTTGAGGCCGGATTTTTACCTATGGCTGGAGCACCGAGGTGCTAATTATATGAGCCGTGTTTTTTTTGAACTTATATATTCGGTAGTCCCCCTATTAGTAGAAGTGATGGCTGGATAGTTACGTGATGAGTGTGATGTGACTGCGAGATGTATTCATATGATTTAGAAGCGATGAGAAGGGTCTGCTGGAGGATAGAAGAACCTTTTCATGTTTCCTAGTTGGGAGTGTAGTAAATTTCATGTTGCGGTATGAGTTCAGACTCAGGAAGATCAAGCGACTGCGTAATGTTTATGACGGTGGAAGGTATACAGAAATGTTAGTTTGAGGCAAAACAGGTGGGTTATCTCATGCGGAGTGTTCTGAAGTTGTGTGATCCTCATGTTGTCTGTTACAAGATCTCATTTGCAAGTGAAATATATGTGTTGAAACTTAAGTTTGGGTCGGTTAAGAGAGTGGGCTTGACTGTTACGAGGGTGAATGCGAGATTTGCAGAAGATTTGAAGTACCAAATGGTCTGTGTTTCACGAGCTTATGGAGGATTGAGTTTAACCTCACTATGGTGTTATGGCAACAATAGAGTATATGCGTCATGAGTTATTGTGTGTGTTTTGGTCTATGGCTTCGAGCCAAGTGGGGGAGTCTGCTATTGATTAGGTGATTGCACGGTTAGGTGCTATGTTGGTTCAATTGAGGCGTGCTGGTGAGTCAGTTATGGCTTACGGAGAGTGAGACCGAGGATGGCTCGAGTAAAGGAAAATTTTGACAAAGGTTATATTATGCTTCATAGGTGTATGAGAATCACGGAATGTCTTGAGTGGTTATTGGTAAGGGTGTGTAGTGAATAGAATAGGAAGTTGCTTGATTGCATTAAATTGAGGTTACCTTCTGCGGTATCGGAGTGCTAATGAGGCACAGGTTGTTCGGTTCGTTTGATCAGTGTAATTGAGGTTTGAGCAGAGTGGATGACTCTCGAGAATGGTCCTAATGAGTTCAAGATTTCACATGTAAATATTGGGAATTTTCAAGTGTATAATTTGGCTAGAAACGAAGGTTGCACTGGAAGGTGTCAAGACTAGTAGTATTTCTATATCATTATGGGGTTCTATATAGCTGTATCAGGAAGGTAAAGGTAATGGCCTTGGATTCGCAGGAAGTCCTTTCAGGATAGGTATTTTGAATGTGGTGCTCGTGGGAATATTTAAGAGAGAATTCAGCGGCTTATGAGCCTTAGGTGGTGTGGTTTTACGTTAAAGTTTGTGGGGAAAGTATTAGTTAAGGATAGTGATGTACTAGCAAGGAAACATATGAATTTGAAGGTAATTCGGAAGGAACTCAGAGGATTAGGACAACTTGGTAGTAGGCTGGATCGGCATGGTAATGTATATGATCTGTTCTTGGGTGCTTATGAAGTGGTGGGTTTCCACAGGTGTTTAGTGGCAATGCTCTTAGGTTTTGATGGCTTGTGTAGCTTGGTTGAGTTAGAAGGAGTCAGTCCTGATGGTTCGGTTTTGGTGCAAAGGGGATTCGTAGAGTTCTTGATAATTTCTACCACGGTTAGAGATGTATATTTTCTACTGGCATGAGGAGCACGGGATGTATAGTGATTTTCTCCTAGATGGGATCAAATGGAAAAGTTCTTGGCTGGTTAAGTACGTAGTTGCTTGTAGCTTGGAGTGGATTACGAAGTTCTCATATTTATCATAGGATGGTATGGTATATGCGGTATGTTGTGTAGGATTGAGATTTGCATGTGTAAGGTCACGGTTCAGTTCTGAAAGGAAGGTCATAAAACTCTTAGGCAGCGGGCAGCTTCCGATAATTAGAGAAATGATCAGATGATTAAGGAAATGGTATTGCTAATTGGGGTGATTTGACGAGGGTATATGTTTCAGAAAAAGGCAATGTGATTAAGTTGATGGTACTTTGGTAGTATTGTGACACTTTCTTATTGGATCGACTGTTGATATTCGAGTTTTCTTAGTGGCATAGAAGAATTATAGGAGTAACTCTCATGGATGATTGGGTATTAGAGGTGTGTTGTATCTTCGGACAGCAAAATTGGATTAGATATGGTGATGCGTGTGCTATATGGAGTTGGAGACTGGGAGTTCTCATAAACAGGTTATTTTGTGGTTGTCGGTCGCGTGTATTGGCACTGTGTAGTGACTATCGGGGTTTGGAGACCCAAGTGGATCTTTTGCTGCTTGGTAAGTTAGGATTTGAGGGATATTGGGTATAGACTAGTTGTCGCAGTGTTGTGTCATTCTGAGCTATTGCGCTAAGCCGGCAATATTGGCTATGCCGGGAATGCCACGGATTGAGTGGCGAGTTTCGACGGATTATGTTCTTAGTAGGGTAGTTTTATATTTCGAAGACCCAGCGGATGGCTGGGAAGGATTGCCTTTCTTATTTGGGCTTTCGTGATGGATGTCAGTGTAGAGACTCCTACCATTGATTCAGTTCCGGTGGTGAGGGACTTTTAGGATGTGTTTCTTGTGGCCGGGCATGTCGCCGGCAAGGTTGTTGATTTTGGTATTGATTTGATGCCAGGCACCGTATCGTATGGCACCGGCAGAGTTAAAGGAATTGAAGAAGCAGCTTCAGAGTTTCCTTGATAAGGGGTCCGTTGGCAGGCCAATGTGGATGTGTGTTCTAAATTAAGTCGACTTGGTTGGCTCCGAGTGTATTGCTGAGGGATGTGTGATTCAATTGTTATTGAGCCTATTAGTGTTCTGAGGAGATATATGAGTTACATTTCCGTGTTACGGGGCATTTGGATTTGTTGGTTATAGGCACATGTAGTGCGGTGTTATTTGGGGTCTCTCAGTAGTTTGGGTTGTGTGGTGTTATGTATTTGCTTCACCATGGTTATGATGATTTGCTTTGGCTCTAGACATCAATTGCGCGTGGTCGTCAATCTCGAGCAGGGTGACTTGAGGTGTTTCATGTGGACCAGTGTTTGGATAGGGTCGCACATTGCAGCGAAGTTATGTGGAGGTATGACCTTGCGGGTTAGATTCGTGTGTTCTGTTTCTATGATGTGAGACGGGTTCTCAACCTTGTGTTGTAGTGGTACTGGTGAGCTTGCGGTAGAGCTCTTTCATTTGAGTCACTTTCATGATTTGAGTATGTTCGGATTGTTTCTTATTGGTGCGCGGATTGAACAAGTTGCGGCTTTAGTCTGCATTGAGGTGTCATGTCACCAGAGTGGTTGTGTTGGATTAGATGAGATCGTTGGGATCATTAATGAATACGAGCGGATTTGATTTCCGCATGTCGGAAGGACAAATATCGAGGTTCGGCTCAGAAATTTGCCATGGTCCTTGCCAAAGGAGAAGTGGCTTCATGAATGGTTGATCTGAGAAATGGTTATGGTTTATTGCGTGCTTCATTTTTCATTGCCAGTGCATGAAAGTGTTGGAATGAGACTTTAGTTGATAAGAGGTTTTCTATCGATATTCAGTTGTTATGTGCAGCTGCTGTGATTAGAAGTTATCACTACCAGTGTTTGAGTTATGTGGTATATCATGTAATTTGCACCTGAGGTTACAGATATGGTTTGTTACAGCTTGTTCGAAGTTATTCACAGTATATATGTGAGATTCTAATCGTATTGATGATTTCAGAAGTGGAAATGTAGTTCTATGGTTTGTGGGCTAGATTGGATTGTGAAATTTCAGTTACAATGTGTTATCGAACCTATATGAGACAGGGTGACGTGGGATCACCCCCGAGTATATGCGTGATAAGGTTATTCAGCGGTTGGTTGGCTTTTGGAACAACTCTAGGCACGTTCGAGGACGAACGTATGTTTAAGTGGGGGAGGATGTAACGACCCGACCGGTCGTTTTGAGCTTTTTCACTTTGCTCGTCAGTTCCCGGGCATGACTTTCCCCGTGTGATGTATTGTGACTCATGTAAAATCGTTGGTTTTGGTTTTCAGGGTAATCGGAATGAATTTGGAAGAACAGTTCTCAGTTTGAAGCTTAAATTTGAAAGATTTGACCAAGATTTGACTTGTTTGTATATGATCTCGGATCGGAATTTTATGAATTGGTTAGCTCCGTTAGGTGATTTGGGACTTGGGAGCGTGATCGGAATACATTTTGGAAGTCCGTGGAAGGTTTAGGCTTGAATTGGCGAAAGTGAGTTTTGGCGTTTTTCGGTTGATAGGTGAGATTTTGATATAGGGGTCGGAATGGAATTCCGAGAGTTGCAATAGCTTCGTTGTATCATTTGGGATGTGTGTGCAAAATTTCAGGTCATTCGGACGTGGTTTGGTTGGGTTTTTGATCAAAAGCTGAGTTCGGAAGATTTTATGAAACTTAGGCTTGAATCCAATGTGTTTCGGTTGATTTGATGTTGTTTGAAGCGTTTTGAAGATTGGTACAAGTTTGAATAAGGTTTTAAGATATGTTGATCCCTTTAGTTGAGGCCCCGGGGGCCTCGGGTGAGTTTCGGGTGGTCAACCGGACCATTTCATGCCTCGGAGATGTTGCAGAATTTGCAGGTTCAGCTGTTGCAGAGAATTCCTCTTCGCGATCGCGAAAGGGCTCTCGCGATCGTGTAGAAGGTTTTGAGGGGGAAGTCCAGTTGTTTTTCGCGTTCGTGAAAGTTGGGTCGCGATTGCATAGAGGTGAGGAAGTTGTTGATCGCGAACGCGTAGTGAAGGTCACGTTCGCGTAGAGTTAAGTGGACCAGGGGTCTTGTATGGAAGTTGTTCATCGCGAACGCGGTGGCCAGTCCGCGATCGCGTAGGGTCAGATGCTTGAGCATCGCGTTCGCATGGTATTTCACGCGTTCGCATAGAGTAAATTTTGGGAGCTAAGGAATTTTGCTTCGCAATCGCAAAGGTTGTTCCGCGATCGCGATGAAGGAAATTTAATAGCTGGGCAGAATGTTTTAAAAAGGCTATTCCGCGACTTGGAACCCTTTTACACCATTTTTGAACGGGAAAAGAGCCCTGAGGCGATTTGAAGAGAGGAAATTATTGTTCTTCATTGAGGTAAGGATTTTGGACCCTAAAACTCGATTATTTGTGATTAAGGAACAAAATATCAGTGTTTAATTCATGAAAATCAATAGAAAAAGGTGGAGTTAGGGATTGAGATTATGAGACCTTCTAGGGATGATTTGAGGGGTCAAACGAACTCCGATTTTCGAGTTCTTCATATGTACGGACTAGTGAGATGATGAAGAACATTTTGGTATAAAGTTTGTCCAGTTCCGAGACGCAAGCCCGGGGGACGGGTTTTGACTGATTTCGTGTTTTGTGCTTAAATTCGATATTTTTCAATTGGAATTCATTCGTTTAGCATAATTTGATGATAAAAATCTGAACTTGGTAGGTTTGGAGCACTCGGAAGTTGATTCGAGAGGCAAGCGTGTTGCAGAGTAGCTTTTCGGGCTAGTTCGAGGTGAGTAATAATTTTAAATGTTGTTATGAGGGTATGAAACCCCGAAATTTCACAGCGTACGGCTATGTTGAGGTGACTTACATGCTAGATGACGAGCGTTTGGTAGAGCACCGTTGGGGATTGTGACTTGGTCCATCCCGAATGATTATTTTACTGCATATTTGATAGTTAATTGTTTACTATTATTATATTTTGGGCTAAATGCCATATGTGGGCTTCGTGCCAGTTGTTTGAACCCTTTGGGGATTTTTAAATGATATTTTCCTCAATGATTGATTTCATACTGGTGCTCAGTCATACTATATTTTACTATTTTAAAGACTCAGCTGTATTATTCTATTTTAAACACATTAAATGATATTTTCAAAGGTATTTGAGCCGAGCTTCATATCTTACTGTGGCCCGAGGGGCTTATGAGATTCTGACTGAGTAAGGCCGAGGGCCTGTGTTGTGAGGATGCATTTGGGTAGGGCTGCACGCCGCAGCAGTGATACATTGATTATGATAATGAGGCCGAGGGCCTGAGATTGTACGCCACGAGGTGGCTTGAGATTGATATGAGGCCGAGAGCCTGTTTATGATGCCACGAGATGGCTTGATTATGCGCTTGGGCCGTAATGGGCCCTCCCGGAGTCTGTACACCCCCAGTGAGCGCAGGTACCCATTGTGATTTGAGATATAGCCCGAGGGGCTGGTATTGTTCTGTGACATTGCCCGAGGGGCTGATTCTGTTGTTACTGTGCCCGAGGGGCAGTTATTATGTGTTTACTTATTAGTTGTTTTCCTGTATATTGTTTAACTGTTTAAGAGAGGTTTATGAGATTTCACTGCTTAATTATATTTACCGATTTGTTATGCCTCTTGTAGCTTAATGTTGTGCTTTACGTGGCTTTATATTACTCAGTCTTTATTTATTTTTATTACTCACTGAGTTGGAAGTACTCACTTTACTCCCTGCACCTTGTGTGCAGATTCAGGTATTTCTGAACCCGGTAACGGGTATTGGTTGCTCAGAGGCAGAGTCATCGGAGTTTAGCAAGGTAGCTGCCCGACGTTCGCAGCACTGCTTTTCTCCCTCTCGATTTCATTAGACCGTATTTAGTACATTTTTGACTCTAGTTGTTTTCGGACCTTAGTAGATGCTCATGACTAGCGACACCCCGATGTAGGGCTGTGTTGGTTTATTTTATTTCCGCAACTTCTATTGATATTTTTGGGATTTATTTATATTAAAGACCTTGGTTTATTATTTTAACTGCTTAAGGTGAACTGGAAGTGTGTCGGCTGGCCTTGTCTTCACGAGAGGCGCCATCACGACCGAGTTTGGGTTTCGGGTCGTGACACCTTCTCAAACTCAATGTAATGGTTGTTGACAATATTAACAAAATTTCAGCTTCTTCTTATTTATTGGAGTCAAATGATTTATGGCATATTCGTTTAGGACATGTCAATTATAAAACCTTGCGAAAGTTAATTAATTTAGAAGTATTGTCTAAATTCGAGTGTATAAATCAAAATGTCAAATATGTATTGAATCTAAGTTTATAAAACATCCTTATAAGTCGGTTGAAAGGAATTTAAATCATTTAGACTTAGTTCATACTGACATTTGTGATATGAAGTCGACACCATCTCGAGGTGGGAAAAAGTATTTTATAACTTTCATTGACGATTGTACTCGATATTGTTATGTTTATTTGCTTAATAGTAAGGATGAAACAATTGACGCATTTAAGCAATACAAGAATGAAGTAGAGAATCAATTTAATAAAAAGATCAAAATGATTAAAAGTGATAGGGGTGGAGAATATGAATCTCCGTCTGCAGAAATATGTTCAGAATATGAAATTATCCATCAAACTACTGCCCCCTACACATCTCAATCCAATGGAATTGCGGAAAGGAAAAACTGGATATTAAAGAAAATACTGAATTCTTTATTAATAAGTTTTAGATTACTGTAGAGTTTGTGGGGGGAAGCTACCCTTACAGCTAACCGAATACTCAACAGAGTATCCCACAACAAAACACAATCTATTCCATATGAAAAATGGAAAGTAAGAAAACCTAATTTAAAATATTTCAAAGTGTGGGGGTGTCTAGCAAAGGTACAAGTACCTTTACCCAAAAAGGTAAAAATCGGACCAAAAACTATGGATTGTGTTTTCATTGGATATGCTACAAACAGTAAAGCATGTCGGTTTTTGGTTCATAAATCTGATATTCCCGAAATTCATGTTAATACGGTAATTGAATCAGATAATGCTGAATTCTTTGAAAGCATCTATCCGTATAAAATTGAATGCGAGTCGTTAAGTGAAAGACCTAAAAGACCATGGGAAGAACCAAAGGAAAATACTCCAAGTGAAGAAGATCCAAGGCGTAGAAAACATCAAAAAACATCTACTTCATTTGCACCAGATTTTGTGACATTCTTGCTTGAAAATGAGCCTCAAACTTTCAAAGCAGCTATGTCTTCTTCTGATTCAGCATTTCGAAAAGAGGCAATCAATAGCGAGATTCAATCAATTATGGATAACCATACATGAGAATTGGTTGATCTTCCTCTAGGAAATAAGCCTTTAGGTTCGAAATGGATCTTTAAACGGAAAATGAAAGCTGATGGCACTATTGAAAAATATAAGGTAAGACTTGTTGTTAAAGGTTATAGCCAAAAGGAAGGCCTTGATTACTTTGACACTTACTCGCCAGTAATGAGGATAACATCTATTAGGGTGTTAGTGGCGCTGGAGGCTGTGTATGGTCTTGAAATCCATCCAATGGATGTTAAAATAACTTTCTTAAATTGAGAACTGGAGGAAGAGATTTACATGGAACAACCTGAGGGTTTTGTGGTTCCAGATAAAGAAAAGAAAGTGTGCAAACTGGTTAAGTCGCTTTATGGACTTAAACAAACACCCAAATAGTGGCATACCAAATTTGACCAAACAATGTTGGCAAGTGGATTTAAAATCAACTAGTGTGACAAATGTGTTTACATTAAAAACACTCCAGGTCATGAAATCATTGTTTGTTTATATGTTGATGACATGTTGATAATGAGTGAAAATATGACAGATATAAATGCTACTAAGCGCATGTTGGCTAGCAAATTCGACATGAAAGACTTAGGAGTTGCTGATGTGATATTAGGAATCAGAATTCACAAGACTCCACAAAGTCTAGCATTATCACAGTCTCACTACATTGAAAAAGTACTTGACAAATTCAAGTATTTGGATTTCAAGATTGCGAAAAACCCAATTGACGTGAGTTATGCACTTCAAAAGAATGAAGGTGAAAGTGACTCACAACTGGACTATGCAAGAGTATAGGGAAGTTTGATGTATTGTATGCGACCAAATATAGCATGTGCTATTAGCAAACTGAGTCGTTTTACAAGTAATCCCAATCAAATACATTGGATGTCAATAAAACGAGTTTTGGGGTATCTGAAACATACCGAAAATTATCCATGGAGGATAATATTCTTGCACCTAGGTACTTCAGGAGAATAATTTCCTTAAGGACACACTGTGCATTCAGTGGGCTCGATTTATTTCGAAATTATTTCTCAGATATTATTTCGATATTCTGTTGCTGCTAACTTTGTGTTTCTGTTTTCTGTTTCAGAAAGTTTCATGTTTCATTATTCATTATAGTAATACAGATTGTATAACAAAAATAACCTAAGTCTTATCCTCCTCACGGTTTTGTGTGCTAACAACTAATTATCTTCACGTTCATTAACGTTCAGATTTAGGGAGAGTATGAAGTAATCTTTATGTATATATTAGTTGTAGTATGACATTACTAAAATTTATTAATGGCTGAATATATACGGAGGCGTTTAACACATGAAGGGTGTTAAGCATATATTTAGATATCCTCGGGGAATTATAGATATGGGATTATTTTATTCTAATGAATTCAAGTCAGAAATGATTGGTTATGCCGATGCAAGTTATTTGTCTGATCCACATAAAGTCCGATCTCAAACAAGCTATTTGTTACATATGGAGGTACATCTATATCATGGCGTGCAATGAAATAAACAATAGCTGCCACATCTTCAAATCATGCTGAGATAATAGCCATTCGTGAAGCTAGTCGGGAATGTGTTTGGTTGAGATCAATGAATCAACATATTCAGGAAATGTGTGGTTTTCTTATGAAAAAGGATAATCCAACTACACTATATGAAGACAATGCTACTTGTATTGCTCAACAGAAAGGGGGATACATCAAAGGAGACAGAACAAAGCACATTTCACCAAAGTTCTTTTTCAAATGATCTTCAACAAAATGGTAAAATTAATGTTCAACAGATACGTTCATGTGAAATTTGGCTGATCTGTTCACTAAGGCATTACCAACATCAACATTTGAGAAGTTGAGACAGAAGATTGGAATGCGGCGTCTTCGAGAAATAAAGTGATGTTTTCACGTGGGGGAGTAAGATACGTGCTGTACTCTTTTTCCCTTAGCATAGGTTTTGTCCCACTGGGTTTTCCTGGTAAGGTTTTTAACGAGGCAGCAAATAAAGCGTATTGCATATATGAGTACTCTTTTTCCTTCACTAAGATTTTTCTCCCACAGGGTTTTTCTTAGTAAGGATTTAACGAGGCATATTATCTATTTTTGGACATCCAAGGGGGAGTGTTATAAAATCTTTAGTAAATGTGGATGTACACTACTCCCACTACTTTTACCCATGATATAAATAACCTCCCACTACTCATCACAATTATGATTGTAACTCCCATACCTCCATAACCCCTCCCCATGATCTTCCCCCATGATCTCAATTGTTAATGTCATGTTTAAGACAATCATTTTATAACCTTCTATGTAATAGTGTAAATAGAGGCATGAAATGTGATATGGGGTACACTTGAACACTTGATGAAATAAGAAAGTTATCTCTTCTTCTCTTATTCTACTTATCTTCTTGTTTTATATCGTTACTTTGAGCTACATTTCTTAACAATAGTTTAAATATGGTCATGACAATTTGGGATTCAGTAATGTTGTGTCACTTTCCGTACCAAAAATTTCACTTTTTGACGAGTAGTATTTTCTAAGATATTAACACATAGTTTAGTGATTTTAATGATACAAACAAGGGAATCTTACGAAAATGTCTCATATAAGTTCTAACTTACCAACCTCTAGTCATTAATCATAGATGTATCAACTAGCCATACACATGTAAAAATTGAAAATCCAAATAAATAAGGTCTTTCTCTCCAAGAATCACACGCAAAGATTTCCTTTAATATTTTTAAGCGTGATCAACAACATTAGATGCAAAACGGAAAGAAAATATATATATATATATATATATATATATATATATATATATATATATATATATATATATATATATATATATATATATATATATATATATATATGGTTGAAGGAACCTTTTTCATGAGTATGGTTGAAATTCATTGAAAATGTATAGATGGGTCAATATACAAAATTTGAGGAAGATTGGAGGTGATTAGAGGTGGCAAAATGGTTTAAAAAATAGTTATCCACTCATATTATCCATTAACAAATGGGTTGGATAATGAACTTTTTAAAAGGGGTCGAATATAGATAAAAACTATATTATCCACTTAGAAAATGGTTAACCAAATGGATAACTAATGTGTTTAACGTTTACATTTGTAAAGCCTCAAATTGGGGGTTCCTCAAGTTTGGGAGACTAGGAATTCTCCCATAAGTAATAATATTCAAGAAGCCATGGATAATATGGATGTCCATATTATCCGCCGGGTAACCCATTTTTTATCCGTCTCAAATACGCGTCGGGTCGGATAATTTATCCGTTTTTTGAATTATCCATTTTCGACCCGCTCATATCTGACCTGACCCGCCCGTTTGCCACCCCTAGAGGTGATTTGGACTGATTTGATATTTAAAAATCGAGTTCAACAAATTCTTCAGTGACACATGTATCATGCATGCATCTCATACATAGGTATATGTGAATATACATGTAATACACATGATACATATGTAATACACAAATGATACACAGTGTGATATGCATGTCATATTTTTCCATATTTATCTTCTACTTCGATTTTCAATTCAAACTACCACAAAATTTTATCAAATCATTCCAAAACTGAGATTTAAATTCCTTAAGATGTATCCAATCATCTCAAAACTGCGACACATCCAATTTAGTCCAACAACAGATTTAGGGAGGGTATGCAAGTAATCTTTATGTATATTAGTTGTAGTATGACATTATTGGAATTATTTAGTGGCTAAATATACAAGGAGATACCTAAAGTTGTCACGTTTCATTTAAACATCTCAAGTAAGCTTTGTTTCGATTGAATATTTGCAGTAGGATCAAAGTAAATCAATCTGACATATAGTGAGTCGCACAAGCTTAAATATTTAAATAAATAATCATGAAAACTTTAGATGTTTTCATATGTATTCAGCCTTAAATAATAGTTATTTTTGGCTATCATCTCCGGATGAGAGAATCTAAATTTAACCCTTTTCTAGATTGTTAAAGGATAATATCTTTTAGTTGTCAATATAGGAAGATATTTATCTATTTTATGCAGCACCAACAGAGTTTTTTTGTGTACGGGAATACCTATGCATAGGGACTTCTGTCCATGTTACCATCAAATTTAGTAGCTTATTTGGCCAAACTTTTAAGATTAAAAGTATTTTTTAATTTCAAAAAGGGTATTTTTTTAAGTTAAGGTATTTGGTCAAACTTTTAAGCGAATAAAAAAAATATTTTTGAATAGAAGCGGAGAGAGAAGTTTAAAAAAAGTATCTTATTTACATAATCATTTTTTTGAAAAGCACTTTTAAGAAAATACACTTAGATGCACTTTTTAAAAACTTGATCAAGCACTAATTGCTGCTCAAATTTTTTTTTCAAATTAATTAACTAAACACAAATTGCTTTCCACCAAAAATATTTTTTTAAAAATCACTTTTAAAAAAAACACTTTTAAAATAAGTTGAAATTCGAAGTTTAGCCAAACAAGAAAATAGCCGAGCGGAATTGCTGCAGAGTGGGACGAATTGGAGGAACATAAAAAATCTTAAATTAGATAAGTATTTCAATACAAAATAGTGAGACTTTCGTTAACTTATGTACCCTAATCAAATCTATGTGGTTATTGCTATGCAAACTAGGTAGTCCTTTGGACTTATCAACAATAAATTGGTCCATTTTCCTAAGTTGATACTGGGTATATCAAGGTTCTATTGAGAGAGTGACAAAGGAAGCCTAGTAAATTTAACAAGAAAATTGACATTCTTGTATTTTTCCTATTTTTTAGATCTTATAAATACTAAACATATTCCTTCGTTTGAGGTTGCTCTACTTTCGTTTTCTCGTTCTTCATTGGTCTTTTTTTACTTCCACTTCTGCTTTATGAGTGCTTTGATCTATATTTGTTCTCTTTATTTTGGTTTTTCGATTTATGATTATCGAGATCTTTAGCATCTTCTTTAAAACATAAATGTAAGTTGAAGTGTGCTTAATTTCTTGATTATCTTTAGTAAATGATCCACTGAAATTTTGAAGAAAAAAAAAAGATAAACAAAGGCTGCTTTTTAATATTAAATTTTTGGGAACTGAGAGTTTGGTATCATTTGCTATAGCAAAATTCTTATTTTTGTTCATCTTAATGATAGAAATTCTGAGTTTAATTGGACTATATAATTGATAGGACTGTACCTATATTTACTGAAACAAAATCAGAATATTAATATGGAAAAATCACTTGTTGCAATCATATGGGCAACTGTAATAGTTGTCACAATACTTGTTATACAAGAATATTAATGTAGTGGTTGCCCAAAAATTGGAGTCACCAACACTAAATGGTCTCTACAAATTCACAATTGTTGAGATTGAGAATGCTATAAATAACATTGACAAGACTAATATGAGAATATCAAGAAAATTGATAGGGAATGGAAGCAAAGGAGAGTTATATCAAGGGATTTTACCAAGTGGACAGGTTGTGGCTATTAAAGAAATGCACAAAACAGAAGATGCAATGGGGTCTTTCATTAAGGAAGTTGAATATCTCTCAAGAGCTAGGCATCCAAGCATTGTTTGTCTCTTAGGTTTTTGTAATGAAGATGGGAAACAGTTTTTGGTTTATGAAAATTATTCTGCTGGAAATCTAGCTCAATATTTTCTCAGTGAGTTTCTCTACTTCAACTTTTCTCTTCATGTTTATATATTAGACACTAAGGGGTGCCTTGGAGCTAGAGACGGATTCAGATTTTTTACGCGACGGGGGCACATTATTCCGCTCAACCAGTGCCCCCTTACGGCTTTTAGTATTAAGGGTTCCAACTGCTTTAAATTAATCATTTTCAAGGTATATACGTGTATATATATACAGAATTTCGCCAAAGTTTACAGGGTCCGGTGACCCCTTACCTATACACATGGGGCCGCCTCTGCTTGGAGCAACAATAAAGTTGTTTCCGTGTGACCTATAAGTCTTACTGGTTCGAGCTGTGAAATCAGCCACTGATGCTTGCATATATAAGGGCGTAGGCTGCCTATATCACACCTCTTGAGGTGCAACCCTTCCCTGGACCCTGCGTGACCGCGAAATGCTTCGTGCACTGGATTGCCCTTCTGCTCATATATTAGACACGGTCCAGTTTGGGCTAAAGTAACATACCTTTTTATTGGATTTAACTTATATACATTGGAGTACTATAATTGCTTTTTACAATATCAATACATTTTAACTTGTTCTATCAAGTCATTTACTTTATATTTCTATATTACCTAATTCGGCTGATTATAGAGAATTTTGCACCTGTTGTTATAGGTTATTTTAATATGATATATAATATAAATCTTATACACCATCAGTACACCCAAGTTAGTCTCACAACTTGTTCATGAAATATATAGGAGAAGACACTGTTTTGACTTGGCATGCAAGAGTTAAAATACTGAGGGACTGTGCATGCGCAATCAAATATCTTCATCATTATATTGATGGCTGCATCATTCACCGCCATATTAAGGTAACATCTCTTAGAAAAATTAATTCTTTTGCTGTTAAGAAACAAAATGATCAAAGAATTGTTTCTTATAAGAAAATCTTATTTCTTAGTTAAGAAAAAAAATTAGTCAACAAAAGCCTTCGCTTTTAATATACTATATCTACTACGAGTTTAATTTTGTTATACAGTGCAGTAGATTAGAATATTAGATTACCTAAAAGATAACTATAGGTCAATGTTCATAAGAATCGAGATCAGTATCTTAAAGATGAGGTAGCTAGGTAACTTGTTATAATATTAATATATTGATAGTGTAAAATTACTTACATGGTCAGTATATATATGACCGGATCCCGCGCATAGTGCGCCGCGCTGCCCTTTTTTCTACTAATAATATTCCAATTTTTGTTGGACAGCTTAGCAGCATACTTTTGAGTGAGACATTGGAACCAAAACTATGTGGTTTTGGGCAGGCAAAAATGCTAGGGATGCATGAAAGCCAAGTATTTGAAGATATTGTGGAAAATGGAGTGTACACAGACCCTGAATATAAGAATAGTGGGTTACTCACTTGTTCAACTGACATTTATAGCTTTGGAATTATCATGCTGCAAGTCCTATCTGGTCCAGGAATTGCTCACTTTGGTCAAGATGACAAAAACATATTGTTAACAAAGGTAAAATGCATGCACTAGACTTTTTTTAGTGCTTAGGCAATTATTGTCATGGATGGTGGAAAATGGAAATATTGGTTTTGAGGTTTATTATCTATCCTAATTTTACCTTAATCAAAATCCGTCCCAGTTTATGTGAATTAGGTGTTTCACTAGCATTGTGTGTAAAAAAATTATATTAAAAGTTTGTCGTCTAAGACATGACATAGACATTTCTATAGTTGTATATCATCTATAAATGGAACGTTCAATGTTAATTATTTCTAAATATACAAATTGTCATCCTCTTTGGGACATATTAAAAAGAAAAGTATGTATCAGGACAATTGGAGTATAAAAACTTATATGAAATTGACATTTAGATGGTGTTTGGATAAACTTATAAACCGGTAAAATTGACTTATAAGCACCTTTTGGCTTATTTACGCGTCTGGTAAAGACTAGAAGTGCTAGCTTATAAGCTAAAATCGGCCATTAATTAGCCATAAGTTGGTCACCCCCAACTTATGGCTTTCAACTTTTAGGCACTTTTAGTTTGACCGAAGTTTTTACTAATTTATCCTTAATAATATTTTTAATTCAAAAAATACTTTTTCCAAAACAAATTTCCTAACCTTCTCTTCATTTCATATTCGCTGTTCATCTTTTTATTTACAAAAAAAAAAAAAAACTTTTTAATGTATAATCTTTTATAAAATTTTAAGGGTATTTTAATCATTTTATAAAAGAACAACTTATTAAATCAACTGACACGTAAATGCTTATTTAAAAAATCTTCAGCAACACTTCAAGCTTATCAGCTATATATTTACGATCAGCTAATGCAAACGGGCTCTTAATCTTGTTTACAATGTCAACGTATATATATTTAACTCATGAATTAATGCAGGCAAAGGAAATAGGAAAGATTCCAATGACAGAGTTTGAAGATCCATGGCTGAAAGGGAAAGTTGTAAATGACGAGGCATTGAAATCCATTATGCAAATTGCACTACTTTGTGTGACTGAAACAAGCAAAGAGCGCCCAACAATAGAACAAGTTTATGAGGAACTGAACAAGGCTTGGAGCCTCACCAATATTGGTTATCCTATTAATTAATATTCCTCCCCTATACAAGTGAATTTAAGTTTATTTTCAAAAAAAGTATCAAAATGGGAAAGAAGGGGTGGGGTGAATAATGCATAAGTTTTATTTTTGAAAGTATTTCACAATATCTTGACTATCTCTTAGGTTTATATATGAACCCATTGTAACCAAGAAATTGCCTAAAAATACGTGTTTATTGCTCCTTGTGAACTAAGAAAGGGGGATAAAGGAACAAGCTTTATATATGTGATAATATTGAATTATTGTAACACTAGTTTGATGAGAGGCATTTCTATTTCATTTATGAGAATAATTTATGATACTCTATAGGGGTTGGCATAGTTTAGGCAAATCAGAAATCCAAATCGAAATCCGAATTTTTGAATTTTTGGTTAGGATTTTCGGATTACGGATTGGATATTGGTTTTAACTTTTTGGATATCCGAAAATCCGAAATTTTTATACTTTATATTTAGTCCATTATCCATATGCCGATAGTAATAAGTTCAATACCCTACCCATTAGATATTACCTCATACATTTAATATCAATTACTAAGTTACTGTCAGAATACTTTCTATTTGGATATGAATTTACTATTGGTACTTCTTATCGGCAGTATTAATGTCTCTGTTGTATTTTAAAAAAAATAATTTTCATTACTTAAATATTTTATTTGGATGATTGCGGCAAGAATGAGAAACTTTTCAGGCAATTTAACATGAGTACTTCATTTGGATATTCATTTTTGTAAAAAGTAGAAACATCTCAATTTATACGCTCAAAACCGAAAATTCATAATATCCAAACGGATTAATCCAAAATCGAACTTAAAAAATCCGATCAAATCCGAATTTATTTGGATTGTAATTTCTTCGATCCGAAAACCAAAACTTCAAACCGAAATTCTCATATCCAATCCGAACGCCCGCCCTTAATACTCTATGAAATGAAAATATCCTCCTATCCGGCTACATCTCAATAGGAAATTGTTTTCGGCCTTTACTATTTTTCCCCCCTTTAAATTGCTTGGCTTTTCAATGTTATAAGAGAGAGGCACGAGACAATGACAGATATAGTTTAGCCTCTAACAATCCTCAAAAGATAAAACGATATCAAAACTCTGCTAATTAGTGAAATAGGAGTTAGATTAGCAAAACAGGATGATAGAGATCATTCCTACAAAAATAATTAAGTGATCACGCAAAGGAAGTGAATTACAATCGAATAACGCAATTATTCACGTCAAAAATCAACATTCATCACAACACAATAAATAAAATAATAAAAAGACAACTTATCCAGTTCTGATCGCTATTTCAAACTCATAAAATTAAAATAAATATGGCTGCAATGCGCTAAATTTCTGTGATTTCCTTATCGAATGAATTAAAAGGAAGGGTATATTTTTTCTCTTGCTGAAACAATATTGCGAACAAATAAACTATTTTTCTGATAAAATGGTAATGTCGGGTGTCTTATTTGGAACAATTTATACCTTCTTGTCTCCAAGACTTTGATGAATTGCTACCAAAATTAATTTACCCCTTTAAAGAAAAAAAGTAGTTGCAACATGCATTAATACCTGCTAGCTTTTGGTGTCTTAATATATTTATGTAAAGCAAAGCTTTTATGTCTAACAATCAATATTGCAAATTCTACGATTATAACATAGGAAGAGAATTGAAAGGCGAGGCAAGTTGTAATATATGCCCCTAATTAATCATGATTATTACAAGAAAAATAACATAAGTATGTGTTGTGTATGATTGCACACGTACACAAACTCCGTTTCTATCTACCTACTTAGAACTTTTTTGTCTTTGTTGTTTGGATATACTCCTTTGTAGAATTTAAATAAAAATATCGTGCAATTTTTACCTTATCAAACTAAAGTACAATAATTTCAAGCATATTATACAAAACCGATCATGCACAATCTAGCATTAGCACCACCCAAAACTCCAGTACATTCTTTCTTATATTTTCAAAGACATCCACACTTAACTAGCGTTTGGTCATAAATTCCCAAATTTATTTTGAAAAATTTGATTTGGGTGAAGTTTGGTTTGAAGATGAAAATGTGTTTGGACATACGTTTTCAAAACATATTTTTCAAATTTATTTTGGAAAAACATGTATATTATTGGTGTTTGTAAAGATTTTGGCCCAAAACCAGCTATTGGGATTTGGGATTTTGCCAATATATAGGCAAAATATACGGCCAAACATGTATTTGCCAAATAAAACCCAAGTTTATTTTTGCAAAATCTATGGCCAAACGGGTCCTTAATATCCAGCAAATTTTACCAAAATATCAAGGCACATAGATTGGTCTTTGGACTTTGAAAATGTCATTTTTTAAAATGCAATATACTATTGAAATATGCCTTATGCTTCGATGGATATAAGGTATATTGTTAAGCAGAAACAGCCACTTCAAAGTTGCGATGGGCTGAGAATAACTAAGCAGAAAATTAATAAAATAAAGAATATAATATCCTATTAATTCTTGGATTTTAATGAGGAATATATGCCTATATATGATCACCACAGTTTCTAGTCTCGGAAAAAAATGGTTTGGTTATAATTTCTAAGGAATAGGTTAACTTTATTAGCTATTTTCTTGATTATGTTAATGGAAAGTAGTCTTCATCATCAAAGCAGATGGTTGTAGTTAAGGCACTCTTGTTTTTCCAACTATGTCTTATTTTTCCCCTCACCTTTTTTGTTGCTGTTTCACTGGCTTCCCCAGAAGACCCAGGTATCTGCTTTCACTTCTGCCTTTAGGGTGCGTAGAAAATTAACTTTTTATATTTTATTGACTTAAATATTTAAAAAATATATTTTCTTAAAAAGAACTCATTTTTGTATTTTCTTAGTAAGAGTAGGAAAAATATTTTTCGATACTCTCTAATTGATGGTTTCAACAGTC